GCCCTCATCTGGCCCCAGCCTGGTCCTCCGTGTGTTTCCTTCAAGGGACCAGAGAGGGAAAGAGGAGGTGCTCGGCTAAACAATGGGATGTGCTATCTCATTTAGTCCTCACCCCGCCCTCTGGGAAGGATCTGTTATCATCTTCATTTTTCAAATGAAGAAACTTGAATTATGGTGTTGGTGAAAACTAGTGAATATACCATGGACTGTCAGAAGAATGAACGAATCTGTCTTGGAGGAAGTACAGCCAGAATGCTCCTTAGAAGCTGGGATAGTGAGGCGACGTCTCATGTCCTTTGGACATGTTATCAGGAGGGACCAGTCCCTAGAGAAGGACATCATGTTTAGAAAAGAGAGTCAGCAAAAAAGAGGAAGACCTCAACGAGATGGATTGACACAGTGGCTGCAACAATGGGCTCAAACATAGCAACGATTGTGAGGATGGCCCATGACCAACAACATTTCATTCTGTTATACGTGGGGTTGTTCTGAGTCAGAGCTGACTCCGTGGCATCTAACAACAACTTATTCAAAGTCATACAACAAGGAATTGAAAGAGCTAGGATTTCAGCCTATGCCTGCTCAACCCCGGAGCCCAATTTCTTAACCTCCGTGTGCTCTGCTGCCTTGCATACTCAAAGTGTGGTCCCTGGGCCAGGGCATCAGCATCACCTAGGAGCCTGGTAGAAATGCAGACTCTCAGGCCTCACCCCAGACCTACTGAATCAGAATTTGCATTTTGACAAGATACCCCAGGTAATTCCTTTGTACTTTACAGTTTGGGACACACTGCCCTAGTGGTTCTTTTTCTGTACGTGCCTTTAGCACCTTGACAATGCTAAGCTAATCCCTTCTCTGGTGTAGTAATTAGGAACATGGCCTCTGGAGCTATTTTTTTGATTCAAGTCCCAGTTCTGCCACTTATTAGCTGTGTGGCTCTAGGCAGGTAATTTAACATCTTGGTGCCTCAGTTTCCACATCGTAAAATGGTGATAAAAATAGCGCCTACTCCATGAGGTTGTTGTAAAGATTAAATGGATTGCCTGGCAATAAGGAATGAAGGACCCGCCGTTGTTTCTCCTCTGTGAATCCTGCCCACATCTTCTTGCCCCTCCTCTTCCAGGAAGTCTTCCTCTGAAGGAGATCTCACCCGTTCTAGAGTCTATGGCAGATGGTCTCGGACTTTGATCATAAAACAGTCTTAGAGAAAATCTTGTCCTCTTACTTTATTGATGAGGAAACTGAGTCTCGAAGGTCAAATGACAGAACTAGGACTTCAACACAGTACTTTTTAACTCTAACATTAGCACTGTTTCCAATGTACTGCATTTATAGTATTACATACTTTTCTATTCTCCACATAATAGACAAGTGTCTTAGGTTGGATTCTCTAGAGAAGCAAAACCAGTGAAGTGTATGTATGTAGAGAGAGAGAGGGAGATTATCTCAAGGAAATGGCTCACGCTGTGGTGGAGGCTGGCCACCTCCCAAAGTCTGTGGATCAGGTGTCAGCTGGAGGCTTCTCCTGGCTCCCATGGCTGCAGGGTTGACAAATCCAGAATCAGCAGGTCAGACGGCAGGCTGCCGGCTCACAGGGCTGCGGAAGCCAGAGAATCCCACAGTTGGCAGATCAGACGACAGGCTGTTTCAAGTGAGCAATCTGGCTAGCATTTTTGAAAGGTCTCAGCTGAGCCTGGGGAAATGCAGAGGGGATGACAATACTGAGCCAACTTTTAATGAGAACCTACCAGGGCCCTGCCCTGCAATCGTGTGTGATAAATTCTGTGCCCGTTTAGAGATGACAGCGCTTGTGCGCAGAGAATGCAGTTACTTGCTTGCTCAAGTCACACAGCTGGGAAGCAGCAGTGCCCAGATTTGACTCACAGGCTCACACTGTTGACAACCCTGCCTCACCAGCCCCTGCCCTCTGAGGATCTGAGGAGGTTAGAAAGAAAAGAGATTAGAAGGCAACACCCAGGATTAAGTCAGGTTGACCACCCCCACCCTTCTTATCTAGAAGAACCAGTAAACCAGTTGCCATCAAGTCAGTTCTGACTCATGGAGACCCCATGAGTGTCAGAGTAGAACTGTGCTCCATAGGGTTTTCAAGGGCTGATTTTTCGGAAGTAGATCTCCAGGCCTTTCTTTCAAGACACCTCTGGGTGGACTCAAACCAACAATCTTTTTTGCTGGTAGGCAAGTGCTTAGCTGTTTGTGCCTCCAAGGTGGCCCCCTTATCTAGAGATGCCTGGAAAAGACAAAATCAGCGGCAGCTCTGCTGGTTGGGAGCCCATGCTCTCATCTCTTTTTCTTTTGACTGTCTCACTTCTTCCCCATTGGTGGGCCTTGAATGTGACTGGATTCCCCCTGCCCTCCACCGAAGGCCCTGCTCTAGTGGCTCCTGGAGGCCGAGTGCTGGGAGAGGGGGCTTCCCGGGAGGGGCCATGGACTACAGAAGGAGGGACTGGAGCAAAGGAGCTCTCTTTCCAGAGTACAGGAGAGCAGGAGGCCAGCAGGCTCCCTGGTTTCCATCTGGGAAGAAACCGAGTCGGTGTCCCCAGGCCAGGGCTGGCCAGGCCTGTTGCCTCTGGGAAGCCTCCCTCTCCGCACTGACAGCACTCACATTCCCCTTTATGCCCCCGTACAGGGTTTCTACCCTGAACCCCCAAAACGGTATTGTGCTCTCGCCTCCACAAGTCTGGGTTCCCAGCAACCGTGAGCTTGGCCTCTGTGCAGCACAGGCCCCGCTCATGGCTGTTCAGCAAGGTTTGAGGAAGAATCTGACTCTAGCATATTTTCAGTCTATGTTTCTCCATGTTTCTGTTTCCTCACTCAAATTGCCAAGGGCCAGGGCACCTGTCTTAGGGACAGTATGAGGGAGGCTGTGGGGGAGAGTAGAGCTCACCTCACCTGTGCATCCTTGAGAAGAAGCATCTTCACGGCTGCACCAGATGGGGCCAGGGTGCCCTCATGGGGCAGGTCAGGCAGCAGGCCCAGCTAGGGGGATGCGTCCCTCAGGAGCTGTCCCTCATGAGAAGTGGCCCTGGGTGCCAACCAGCCAGAGCTCCAGTGCCTTCTCTCAGGGCAGGGACAAGACGAGGAGATGCCAGGTCAACCCCGGTGAGCCTGGGTAGCCGGCCCAAACTGGGAGACCCTGGGTTTGCAGCTTGTGAACTGGTTGCCCGGCCCTCCTCAGGCCTGGCTGCCCTCCGGGTTCAGGGGCGGCAGGAGGCTGAGGGGTGCACAGCGACCCCTGTGGAAGGGGGTTGGTATCACAAATCAGTTATCCTGCCCTCTGGGTGCCCACTGTCCTCCCCAAGTGCACACCCATTCCCCAATACCCAAATTACCCCTAGAGCCAAAATCTGAGGCTCTTTTTTCCTTCTGGTTGTGCCCACCCCCCACCCCCTCCCAGTCAAAATCAAGAGAGCTGCTTTTCTCCACACTGTGTAAAGCTCTTTGTGTGATTAACGTAATTCCCACTAAAGCAATTCATTCTTTTCTGAAAAACCCATGGGCTTAATCTTTCCTGGGCACATTTGCATTTTAAGTAGAGAGCTTGTACAAAAGAATTAATCTTTAATTAGTAGAATAAGGGGGCAGTTATTTTGGAGGAGGAGAGGTGGACTTTCCCAGGTTCCTGCCTGCACTCCAGGCCTTCCCTGCCCCCCTCCCCTCCTCCACTCACCGGGATGCCTGAGGTGAGGAGCTGGGATGTGGAAGGAGAGGCTTCCACGTTGGAAGGAAGGTTGAAGACGAGCAGTGGTTCCCATACTTTCCAATTTCCTTTATTAATTAGAAACTTTTTATGGTGTCACCCGGAATTGCCAGAGTTTGTTTTATTATCACCTGTTTAACACCATCATTTTGCCACACCAAAAGACTCAGAAGGACCTAATCTCAGGCAGTCATCTAGATGGAATAAATTTAGCTTTATAAAACGTACCACATTGTCCTTGTGTTTTTCGTTTTGCCACAGACTGGTGAGCACCTCATCGGGGGCTGGCATTTGAGAACCACGAACTGGATGGCCCCTAAGGCCCTGCCTGACTCTAAAATGCTACAGTTCTCAAATACCGCAATCACGCTGCATTAAAGATGCATTTTCAAATGTTAATAATTAATGGTAATGTTAATTTATCATAGTTTCACATAACATTCTATAATGGAAATGACCCCAGGAGAGAGGATGGTAGAGGGAGATTGAGGGGCAGACAATAGAGGAAATGGGAAGCATGAGGGGCAGACTGGGGAAGAGCTGCTGCCTTCTCAGGGGTGCCCATCTTCCCAGGAGCTTCAGTAGGATACTTGGGCTGCGGGAGACAGTTTTTAGTTCCATCCCAGAAGAGTGTGTGTGTGTGTGTGTGTGTGTGTGTGTGTGTGTGTGCGCGTGTGTGTGTATGAGTGGATGTGGATGTGTGTGTGTGAGTGTATGTGAATATATGTGTGAATGGATGTGAGTGTGTGTGTGAGTGTATGTGAATGGATATGTGAATGGATGTGAGTGTGTGTATGAGTGAGTGTATGTGAATATGTGTGTGAATGGATGTGAGTGTGTGTATGAGCATGTGTGTCACTGAATGTGCATGTGAGTGTGTGAGAGCAAGTATTTGTAAGAGTGAGAGTGAATGTGTGTGGATGTGAGTGTGTGTATAAACATGCACAACAGTGATATGTGTGGGGCACCCTTATGTAAATGCTCCTCTATGGCCTGGCATCATGAAAATGTGCCAGTTTGCCGGCTCTGCCCTTGCACATACCACTATGCCTGATCCCCAAACAAAAGCTATGAAATGAGAATGCCAAATGTCTTAGAATTTGGGAGTAGGGAAGCAGTGGGATAAGCCAGCTCTAGGGAAGGCTGAGTCCCTGGCGCTCTAGGGGAGGGACCAGCCAGAATTTGTTCCAACTGCAAGCTGTGCTGGCCCTGGCTCAGGTTCCCGGGTCTCCTCAGCTGAGCAAGTGGCTTTCCTCATGGGTTTTTCTTGTTCTCATTCCAGGTGTGTGTGGCTGCTGCGGCGCCCTACGCCCAAGGTACAAAAGGCTGGTTGACAACATCTTCCCTGAGGACCCAGAGGTAAGTCACACGTGCCATCTGCCTGACGCCACCAGGCATCACAGTTCCACCATCCAGGCGGGGCCTCTGAGGCTGCTGCGTGGAGAAAGCGGGCCTCTCGTGGCTCGGGCCTCTGAGCATTCTCAGACAAATTGAAGCCTTGACCAGAGCCCCATCAGGGGTGAGGGGCTCTTGGAAACGTGAAGGAGGCGGGTATTTGGATCTCTCTCAAGTCAGACTCTGCAGAGGGCAGCTGGAAATTTCTTATGGCATGCTTTTGACTAATGCTGTACAACTAAGACACCTTTCTCATTTGTACCTCTCTGGGTGACAGTTTCCTCACGCTGCTAACTCTCTTGATGGTAATGTTTCCCTGCTGTTTAGTGTGAGCACGCTTCTTCTGGGTTTTGGCTCAGGAGCCCTGTCTATCTCTGGGGTACCCTACCGTGACTGCCAGGTGTCTGCATGTGCACTTACAGAACACCTGGCTTCCTGGCTGCCATTCACCACTCTAACCACCCAGCCCCACTCTACCACCCAGCTCTCACTCTAACCACCCAGCCCCCACTCTACCACCCGGCTCCACTCTAACCACCCGGCCCCCACTCTACTACCTGGCCCCAACTCTAACCACACGGCCCCCACTCTACCACCCTGCCCTGACTGACCACCCAGCCCCACTCTAACCACCCAGCCCCCACTCTAACCACAAAAGCCACCACTCTGTCAGGCTGCTTTTCTGGGCTGTGGTCTGAGAAACATCAGGATCTGTTGTTCTGGACTTGCTCATTGGGAATCAGTGATCCCTTCTTGATGAGTAGTTGGAGAATCATTTGCAGCATCCTCTGGAGAACTGTCTAATTACTACAGAGCTGCAAACTTCCTGTTTTCGTCTTCGTGCTGGATACCCAACTCGTTTAAATTCTGAGTCACTTTTAATGAAGGCTTGTCATGTATATATATACACACTCATGTGTACACACATATACATATGTATACCTACACACGTATACACATACATATATACTATACGTTATGTGTGTGTGTATCTATGCATGTGTACACATATACATATACACTATACACATGCACACACATATAGGTAGTTACAGACATTTAGGGGTTTTGTTTGGACAACGCCGTTGTAAGTCGGTTCTGACATAAGTCAAATACCTTGTATCTTTTTAGTTTTCATTATTATTGCCTTTTATTATCAGTATCTTTGTAAATCCAATCTTTACTTGTCTTTGGGGGTTAAAAACATTACGTATAAACTTACAGATATATTTTAGTACATACATACATAAAAAATACACAAATCATAAAAATTTAACAGTGAAGAACAGTTGGACAACTTTGGCATTTTCTCAGTTGTGGTAATAACTCCACTCATGGAAGGTTCTGGACCATCTGGATTATCCCTGAGAATGGGGGTGGCATTTCTAGTCAGAAAACTAGTGAGAATTATCTGTATAGTCCTTTTCTTTTTTTTTTCCCCCCACATATTTTGCAGTAACATCTCTCTATTTCCTGAATCTGCCTGTCAACTTTAGTAAAGTGATCAGTGTTTGGGTCCATGTTTTCAAGAACTGAAGCCCCTGATTTAGCTCAGGAAAAACTTTAGGTAATCCTTTCACTGTAAAATTTTTTTTGACTACTCTTTTTCCTCTTCCTCTTTATTTCTTTCTTCTTTAACGTTTCTTTCCTCTTCAAAATCTAATTTCCTGATCTGTCAACTCCCCTTGTTCATGATCTATGAGCTGTTCTACATCGACAATGTCAAGTTCTCAATTCAAGGTTCTTACCATATGGACAATTTTTCCACCGATCTCTTCCATTCATATTATCCTGATTAAATGCTTGGAGTGTGATCACATAACTCAGCAATTTTTCCATATCCCCTGCATGCGTTTTCTCATAACTTTCTCCCAGGAAGATGCAATGTTCCAGATACAGTGAACATCTGAGAATGATAACATCAGCAAACTGTGCACCGCAACATTGTATGTAGTACATATCACAATAAGATGTACAAAACAAAATGAGAAGGACAATCGTAAGTGCAGTTTGTCACAACAAATACGTTGTAAGTCAGGGATTACCTATATATGCATTTATCTCTTACTATTTTACTATTCTTATTTATAGCTAGCACACTTTAGGCTAGACTGTGAGTTCCTGGAGGGCAGGAACTATGTTTTAATCATCTTATATCCCTGATGCCCAGGGTGTTGTCTGGCACATACATAGTAGGCACTCTGCAAGTGTTGATTGAATTGAATTATGATTTACAGCAAGACTTGAACACTTCTAGCCATCATATGGTCACAGTGATGGTGAACTGTCTGTATTTTACAGGATGGCCTGGTGAAGACCAACATGGAGAAGCTGACCTTCTACGCCCTTTCAGCTCCAGAAAAGCTAGATCGTATTGGTGCCTACCTCTCTGAGAGGCTCATCCGTGATGTGGGTCGTCATCGATATGGGTGAGTAGTATGGGAAGGTGGGAGAGATATTTTTAACCAATATAGGTCGTTTTAAAAAAAGAAGATAGTAGGCTGTATTATTGAACAGACTGAGAAAATAGGGGCTGGGATTGGAGGAGTGGGTTCCATGTACTCTTCCAAAGGCAGGTTAAAATTTCATGCTGTTGCCAAAATTTGAGAAGAAGGGGATGCTGGACTAGTAGGAGGACCTCCTTTAGTATCCCTTTACCCCTCATATTTCTATCCAGAAGCCCTCACACATGGTCTGGGGCCTTGAAAAATTAGTCTAGACCAGAATGTACCATTATTCTCATCAAACTCAACCTGCCTCTTTCAACTTACCCTCTTAAAAAAGTAAGGAGAACCCATCTACATTCTAATGAGAAGGCAAGGTTAGAGGTAATTTGTCCATTAAAAATACACTTAAGTGAAATACTTATCAATCTCCTGTGAGGGAAGGACTTTCTATATTTAGAAGAGAGAAGAAATCTTAAAGAAAAAGTCTGATCAGTAGATTTAGCTGTTTAAAAATTTAAATGTTTTGATGTCAAAAAAACAATCAAAATTAAAAAGAACAACAACAGTAAGAAGTGTTTTTTAAAAATAAGACAAAGAATTCAAACTCATATATTAGTGGCTCATAACAAATAGTAGGGGTGGAGTGGGGAGATTGAGACCCTAAAAGATTTGAGGCAAGGACCATAAATAAGAAATTTACAGAAGAGGAGATAGAATTGGTTAAAAACATGGGATAATATTCAACAAACTTGTAATCAAAGATGTCAATTGAAATAATAGGATACACTTTTCACATCTCAAATTAGTAAAGAACATAAATATAATTTCCAATATTAACCAAGGGATGGCAAAAATAGGAAGCATTTTCATGCTTTTCTAGAAGGGATGCAAATTGCTCAAGCCTTTCCAGAAAGTAATTTTGAAGTGTGTGTCAAGAGCAGCCTCAAAAACATTTATGCTTTTCAACCAAGTAATTCCATTTCTATTAATTTATCCCAGGGAATCAGTCTTACATACAAATCTAGCTTTACACACAGAGATTTTCATTATGGTGTTTTTTATAATAATGAAAAAGTGGAAATAACTTAAATGTCCGACAAGAGGAGAATTCAGTAAATTATGGTGTATATCACTTAAAGAAATGTTAGCTAGCCCTTAAAGATGGTGTTTATAAAGATGTGTTCCATACAGTGTGGAAAACACTTTAAATAAATGAAGACTAGAATACATAATTATGCACACAGAGTTTACAGTCAAGGGGAAAAATAACAACAACAAATTTCAATGCCTAGAAATATAATAAAAACAAATATACAAAGTGTTAAAAGTACTCCATTTTGTGGACAGTGTGGCTGTAGAGTTTTGTTTGTTTGTCTGTTGCCTATCTACTTTTTTTGTGTGTGTTTTCTAAATATTCTCTGTTGAGCATGTGTTACTTTCACCGCGAGGCAAGTGTAAAGTTGTGTTTGCTGCCCAACCATCAGGATTCAGAGAGAGGCTGAATGTAAAGATAACTCTAAGGTATTCCAGGTGGCATTGCGGATGGGACAGAGGGTTGGGCAGATTTAGGGTGGTTGTTATTGTTAGGTGCCTTCCAGTTGGCTCTGACTCATAGTGACCTTATAAATAACAGAATGAAATGTTGCTCGGTCCTACACCATCTTCATTATTGTTGCTATGTTTGAGCCCATTGCTGTGGCTATAGTGTCACCCCATCTCAGTAAGGGTTTCCCTCCTTTTTACTGACTCCCTACTTTACCAAACTTAATGCCCTCTTCTAGCAATTGGTCTTTCCTGATGACGTGTCCAAAGTAAGCAAGTTTCCCCATCCTCGCTTTTGGTTGTCATCCTGCAGATTTCGGGTAGTTATTCTTAAGTCCTGTTAGGTCCACTCTTCACAAAGCCTTTTACATCCATCCTCTACTTTCTTCTGCTCCTGCCTTCTCCTGGTTCATACTCTCGTTTTCTTTTAGCCCAGATTGTGGAAGTAGACTTGGAAATTGTCTCCTTGCTTCCCACCTTGCCTCTTCCGGTCCTTCTGGGTTAATACTGCTAGATATGAGCTTTCCAAAAGGCAGACCTGAAACTGCACTCTCCTAGCTCCTTTAGAATGAAATCCAAGCTCTTTAGCTTAACTTCCGGGGTCTTCTACAACCTGCCCCTAGCTCACCACTGTACCCGCCAGACCCACTCTAGACCTACTCCAGGCAGACTGGCTGATGATCCCGCCAACACTCGGGCCCCTCTGCCCCCTGGGCCTTTATGGTGCTGTCTCTCCCCAGCCTGCCCCTATCTCTGCCCATCAGCCTCCACTGCCCTCCAAGACCTCCTCCTCCTGGTGGTGCAGTTGGGTCACATCTTGAACTAGAATGAGAAGGTTTGCATTGTGCTGACAGGGCGTGGAGGTCCAGAAAGCACAGGACCCACCAGCAAGTATTACATCAAGCCACCCTTGCTGTAAAAGCAGAACCAAAAGCAATACGTTTCTGTGATCATTTTATACAGTAGAATTATGTTACACACTCAATGAAAAGGTCATGCATATACCATACATGCTGACTATATAAAGGGCCTTGACATATTATAAAGTATACCGAAGCAAGTAAAAAATAACTTTATCCTAGATTGAACCTAAAACTAATATACTGGCTATAACATTAAACATTTAATGCTAATTTTGCCTGTCCTCTCTGCAGTGAGAGTTCTATCAGTAAAGCTGTCCTGCAGTCAGCAGAGGCACTTAGAGTCATTCCCCTGACCTTAGAGCTGCAATTCAAAATTGGTAGCATTCTGTTAAAAATAGACCTTGCAGCATCTAAGTGTTTAAAGCCTTGAAGGCCTCACTGAGGGTTTTAATCATAAACATTTGGAGAGAAGAAAAATCTATCAGACCTAATCTGATCTCTTGTTCTTTCTTTGCACCGTTTCCATCTTTCCCTACCCAACCCCACACATCATCATCATATCATCTTCCATGTCATTGACGGCAGCTTTGGAAGAGCAAAATGTTGGATAGAGACCATCTGAGGAGCTGTGTCTCCCTTACAGTGCAGGTGTCTGTATTTATTTATGGCTTGACCATATGGAAGTGAACCTTGGCTGTTGGACCCAGTGGCAGAGCCACCCTCTTCTACCTCCACTACCTCCCTGTATCATGACCCCATGCCCATTGTGTGTGGACTTTGTTATCATATGTGTTTGGCATCAGGGGGAATAGTCAAATGTGGGCAGAGAGGGTAAGAGGTGAATTTCAAGGTGTTGTTCATCAGCATGGACCATGATGAGCAGTGATATGCAGAGCAACAAAAAGCTGGAATTCCTTATATTGCCTCCTCCCTGTTTGTAGCTTCCCTTTCCAGTACAGCCCAACTGCTAGAACATGCATAGCAGTTGGAGAACAAAGGGATGTAACGGCAGTGCTGGGTGAGACCCAGGGTCAGTTGACCATGATTGCTGAGAGTTGACAGCGTGTTGAATGCTGTATTAGATGCTGCCAGGATCTCCAGTGCCCAAAGCTCTCACCCAGCCCCAGGTTGTCTGAGCCCTGGAGGATGGAGACACCCATGCCAAAGAGAGTTAGGATACCCCCCTGGTGGAAGTCCTAAGAAATACAGATTTCCAACCACCTGAGCCTGGTTGGAGGGCAAGGCCAACCCTTTGGATACTAGACAAGGAGTTTCATCTTTCCCTCCTTTAGCCAAGGACAATCCCTCTCCCCTACCTGTAGGCTTTTTACACCCAGAAGGTTCTGTTTAGGAGTGGGGCTGCCTACATACATTCAAACTGCCCAGAATAGGAAGTTCTTCATCAAAGCCGCTGCTCTTTGAGTGATCGTAGGACAGCTGGCCCTGCTAAAGGTGCCTCTGCCTCTCTTTCTACCTGCTGATCCTAATTCCTGACTCCAGATCTGCCTTTCCTCTCCAGTCATATCTGGTTCCCAGACTTTGCATTCCTGCTCCTCTTTTCCTGTAGACTCAGCACCTCTCCTGGTTCCTAGGGCCACCCCTGACTGAGCACAAGGTATTCAAGCAGAACCAGGTGCAGATACCTCATTACAGCTAGTTCTTGCTGAAGACCCTTGACATGGGGTTGCTGCCTCACTCCTAAGTACCAAGCTCACTGTGGATTTTCCTCAGTTGTTATAAATCATCTTCTGCCCTGGTCCCTGGTCCTGAGTTCCTGTTGCTATAACCTGCCAAGTATCCCAGTCTTCACCTGGCCTTGGTTGCTGCCTGTGAACTCCAGTTCATCCGAGATTCCTTGGATTCTGCCCTCCTCACCTGCTGGGAACCCCTCCTAGAACACTTAGGACTGCTGCTGTGTGTGGTCTGTAACCTGCTCTTGCTTTCACCCAGGGGCCTCTGCAGTGGGTGGTCCTCCCCAGCTCCTTCCTGCCCCATCCTGTTCCAAGTACCCAGCCAAGCCAAGTTCAGATTCCCAGCCCTGTTACTGCTTTGGACCCCTTCCAGGACAGCAAGCCCAGATCAGATCTCTGATGACCCTGATCCTGTTGAGTGAACATCACCCTGTGAATCCCATGCTCTATTCCGTTTGAGAATACTGTATAAGCCTAAAGGCTAGGGCATAACTGGGAAGGTTACTGTAAGAAAGGACAACACAGAGAGCATTGATTAGGGGGTTCAAAGGTCCCATCGAGTTCCAGTCTTCTAAGATACTTTGAAAAGTTCAAGTTCATAGCTACAATCCTTAGTTTGGAGTCTTTAAGTGTTGGAGTCAGAGGTGGGGAATGAAGGATGGTGTATTCAAAGAACTAGGCTTTAAATGGAGCCCCGGTGGCACAGTGGTTAAGAACTATGACTGCTAACCAAAAGGCCGACAGTTCGAATCCACTAGCCACTGCTTGGAAATTCTGTGGGGCAGTACTACTGTGTCCTATAGAGTCACTATGAGTCAGAATCGACTCGATGGCAATGGGTATGGTAGGCTTTAAATGTCTGTATTTTTCAGTTTCACTTTCTACCAAAATTTTCACTCCTAGTCAGTAGCCAAGTTTTTTCTCTAGCAAATGATGGTTTTTCCTCATCAGATGGTTTTCTGGAATTTTTTTGCAGTAAAAGGGAAAGCAGCAATCTAAACTCTGGGGTATGGGAGGCCTTCTAGCGTCTTCTCTTGCCTAACCCCACCCCCACTCTTTCTTTTCTCTAAATTTTAAACTCTATGAAATAATGGTGAAATGGTGGTGGATGCTGAGATGATTCATAAGAGAAGGAGAACTCCACTCCACCTGCCCTGCCTGGCTGTCTGAATGTGCCTGCATTTCTCTGTAGGGAAGCCTGTCCCCTGTGGAAGGGCTCTAGCCCAGGCTGCTCCCCAGCCCTGCAGGGTTCAGTCTCTGCTTCACTGGCTTGCACAGTGGACCTGAAACACGCCAAGACTGGGGCTGCAAGGCACAGCAGGTTTCCTGGGCTGTGACTGAGACGCCCTCTGAAGGGGAAGGCCACAAGGGGCCAAGGAAGTGTGGGCCTCCTGGAGGAGGGAGGAAGGGTGGGCTGGGGCTCCGGGTTACCAAAGCTCGAAGGCCCATGTCGCCTTTGTATTTGAAAGACACTCTGTAGATAAGAATGTAATGTGTTCCATTTGTGAATGTGCCCAGAGATGACTATTCAATAGACCTGGCTGCTATAAAGAAATTAGTATTTTATAAAAGCAGAAAGTAACTTTTCAGAGCATAGAGGTTGTTTCTCTTATGGTTGCATGGTATAGAAGTAGCTCAACGGTACCTAAGAAACAGTATCTGATGTCTTTTTTAAAAATTAGAGGCCATCAAGACTGCTATTACTTTATATATTTGGATTTGCAAAGCTGGCTTATATCTGAGGCAGTATGGACACAGTGTCTGAAATCGGGCAGCTGCCATAAGAGGTATTGTGGAGCTTTGCATTGTGGTCCTGTAGATATCTCTAGAAATCGTCGTATAGTCATGCTTCTTGTGCTGTTTTTTAAACATTTAACCAAATGTTGGTTTGGTTTGATTACACAAAGACTAGCCTAGGTTGCCCCTAGTCATGCAGTGGGACTGGAATGGGCATAGGCCAGCGATGGCAACGGTGCTGCTTTCCCCAGGTATGTGTGCATTGCCATGGAGGCGCTGGACCAGCTGCTCATGGCCTGCCACTGCCAGAGCATCAACCTCTTTGTGGAGAGTTTCCTCAAGATGGTGGCCAAGCTGCTGGAGTCAGAGAAGCCCAACCTGCAGATCCTCGGTACCAACTCGGTAAGGAACAGCCCCCGTGGCTCTGGGTCTCCCAGCCAGGACCGTGGAAGGCTGGGGGTGGAGGTGGGGAAGCCCTCTGGGTCAGGGTTATTATGTTGATTTCTTATTTGGTTCCTGACCCTCAGAAAAACACACTGCTTGTCTTAGTAACCCCCTCTTCATGAACACAGGGCCATTTATCTTTATTTAATTGCAATATAACCCACATATCATAAAACACACCATTTTAAAGCATATGATTCAGTGATTTTTAGTATACTCACAATGTTGTCAACTATCACCACTATCTAGTGCATTTATCTTTAGACTGATGATTTTCAAACTTGTTTAGTAGTAGATTTTCCCTTAAATAATCTTAAGTAGGACCCTGACATATATAAAAATAGACTGAAATGGTGCTGTTCCTGTGGAGGGAGGGGTTGCCTGGCACCCTCATAGCTCAGCACCTGGCTCCATGGGGCGCAGTTTGAAAGCTGCTCTCAGTTACGACTCTTTCCAAGATGGAGTAAGCTGATGTCTACAGGATGGAGGCACCAGGTAAGTGGAAAGGGAAGCAGGGCTTCTAGCTTCGTTCTGCCCTCACCCAGCTATGGACCCTTGAGTGGGTCATTTGTCTCTTCCAGGCTTCAGCCTTTTCATCCATACCCTGAGTTGGTTGAACTTGGTCTCTATATGTCCTCCAAGCTCTATGATGCTGGTCTCAATACCAGTGGCTGCCATCATGAGGGGTTATGGTTTTATGAGAGAAAACCCTCGGATACGTCAAGAAATCCCAGCACCATGTGTGTTTGTATATTCTAGACTATCCTAGCTGCTTTCTTTAGTTTCTTGCCCTCTCTCCTATTCCTTCTCCTTTGGGGCATACTTTCATCTCCAGGTCTTCAGGCAGCTTGACATAAAGCCCTTAAATGCTACTGTTTTTTTACAGGTCTTAGGTGAAGCCTTTATCAACGTACAGATATTGCAAAAGAAAAGCTTAAGGTTTGCCCCCTTAGCATTCCCCACCTGAATTTTCTGAATTTTTATTGCACAGGGTAGAGCTGCTTTCCTTTTCTGCATGAGTTGATTTAACCAGAAGATAGTCTTCCAACTTTACTTTCAAGGACCAAGGCTAACAACTTGTTCCCTCCCCTGTTCTCTCTCTGTGAGCCAGCTGCCTTTGACAAATTACATATACAGTAGCAGAGGGTAAAGTGATTTGTCAGGTTGCCCTGGCAACAGATGCAGATACTGTCTCAGTTGTTCTGTTTAAGATAACTACAGTCTAGAAGAGAACATCTCAGTGGAAAAGAAACCAGTCATCAGCCATCCTGAGGACGTCTCCCTGTCAGGGACACAGATGCAGGTGGCCACCAGCTCTAGCTTTCCCTGCAGTGAACCCTTGCCTGGGGCAGGAGTTATTAGCTACAGCCTTGAAAATGCAGGGCCCTGCGAAGTCCTAGATTCTCCATCACAGTGAATCACTGCAACAGCAATGGAACAAGTCGGCAGATAATTACTGTGCTACAGACAATGAATATTCTATAAGGACAGTCTATTATAAGTAAGTTGAGTGAAATATTTGCAATAGATTCAGAGTCCAACTTTGAGGCAGCTTTTCCAGTATCGTGTCTCATCCAAATGCCCTTTCTAGCTCTCTGAGCCTAGGACCTTCTCGAACCTTCTAGAGAAGAATGTTCTTTTTGCTCCTTCTCATTTTAGAACTTCCAGCATATTATGAAGCTCTTGCTTGATGGAATCTGAGCGAATCTAGCCCAGGAGTTTCCAGTGGGTTTTCATAGCAATTCAGGGCTCTACAGGGACCAAGGGGGAGCTGGGAGAGAAGGAGCAGAAGGGCCCAGGGCCCTTGATGCTGGCTTCACCCAGCAGCCTCCTCAATTTTAGATATTTATATGGAAGCTTACAACATTTCATTTGGATAGAGGGTTTTGCTGCCAGGAAATTAAAAGAAAGGGAGGTAGAAACAACCCAGGTGTTCATTAACTGATGAATGGATAAACAAAATGAGGTATATCCATACAATAGAATATTATTCAGTCATAAAAAGGAATGAAGTGCTGTTACATGCTACAACATAGATGAACCTTGAAAGCAGCACTCTAGATGAAAGAAGTCAGACACAAAAAGGCCATATATTATATGATTCCACGTATATGATATGACCAGAACAGAAAAACTTTTAGAGACAGAAAGTAGATTAGTGGTTGTTTAGGACTAGGAGGTGATAGAGGATGGGGCGTGATAACTAAAGATACATACAGGGTTTCTTTTTGAGGTTATGACAATGTTCTAAAATTGACTGTGGTAATGACTGTACATATCTGTGAATATACTAGAAACCATTGAATTGTATACTTGAAAAGGGAGGGAAGGAGGGAAAATGAAAAGGAGAGAGAAAAGGAAAAGAGAAAGAAAATCATTGAGTACATGCCACACCCTCATCTTGCTGGATTTCTCTGCCTGGAAATGGAGGTCCAGAGAAGTCAAATAATTTGTCCGAGTCACGCAGCCAGAGCACTGGCTTTAGCCAGCGACTTATTCAGCTCCAGTGCCTGTATTCTCCTTTAAAATCCCCCTAGAATCTAAAAGGCCCCACCCAGTGTCCTCTCCCAAGAGCCCTGACCACATCCCCAACCTCTGGGCAAACGCCTTCCTGCAACCAGACTCACTCCTTCATAAGGTGGCCATAGTCTCATGGGCGAGAGGTCGAGGAAACTCCTCCCCCCGCGCCGGCTCTGCCTCTCTGTAGCTTCCCCTCGGACCTACTTTTTTTTTTTTTTTAAATATTTTATTGTACTTCAGGTGAAGGCTTACAGAACAGATAGTTTCTCATGTAACAGTAA